TGGAAGCAGTGCTACTTTCAGCAATCCCGGTAAAAAGAACTGCGGCCGCTTCGGACTTGCTTTGTTCTTTTGGGGGTTCATGTTTGGGTTCAAGCTAGGAGCAGTGCAACATGCCTTAACAGTCCATGGAATCCTTGTCCAAGCGAAGTCCAACACTAGCGCCTGCGCTTTTCTCTGGCTCTGCGACACACGCGTCGCAGGTTCATCCTTCTCCAAGAACTCGTCGTCTGAGTCCAAGTCCAGATTTTCAGGCGCGCGCAAGAGGTCGGGGCGCAGCGCAACCCATCGAAAAGACGGCCGTGGCTGCAAGCTGTCAAGGGCGTGGGCGGGTCAAGGACGTTGGGGCTTGTGGAGCTGCGGGCTGTCTCCAAAATCGTCATGATTAGAAGCACGTGGTACAGTTTCCTTCATCTCTAACTTCTTGGACGCTTCGCCTCTCTCTTTAGAACTTCGCTCCAAGCTTCCGATTTTGCGCAAAAAACCCATCGCCGGGCCATCGCCGGGCCACCGGGCCACTGCCGGGCCATCGGTGTGAGCCAAAACCATGTGCCAAGTGTTCATTTTTTTTCTGGGAGCTATATGTGTGAGCAGTATTGCTCCAGAGTTTCTGGTTTTCAGGAAAAAGCCCGGGCCATTGCCGGGCCCTCCTGCCGGGCCGTCAATCCTGCGCTGTGGAGCGCTGGCAACAGGATTGCCCCCGTCAATGCGCTGGCAACAGGATTGCCCCGATGCAGCACCAGCAGCTCGGGCTTGGCACGTCGTGGACGCTCACGACGAAGGGCAGACCGCTTGCAAAGAGTGCGTTTCGAAGCTCGGAGTGGAAGGCCAGGTCGTGGCCCTGCCCCCTCGTGCCGTAGTAATTCATGGTGCGGCCGGGGAAGATGTATAGGGCCCGCGTAAAGGGGCAGGGAATGGGTTTCTCGTCGCGCAAGCGGCAAGAAAACGCTGCAAGACCATCGGAGTGATGTTAAATCCACCACGACAAGCACAAGAAAAACCACACCGCGAAACCGGAATTGAAACTCAGCTTCAACATTTGCAACGAATCTTCTTCAAGTCCTGCCTGATAGCAGCATCCGTTGCAAAATAACCTTTTATTTCCACGACGTTGTTGAACATCTTGAAAATGTCTGCTTCTGTGGCCAAGCTATCGTGCCTACTGGCAGCTATTAGCATTCAGGACTTTGGTTCCGGACTGCTTGGTCCATACACTAAGTTTGCCGCTTTTTTCGCGATGAAGGCAGGTGTCTCCAAAATCCCTGTGCGGAGGAGTTCCTGGTCGTTTCAGATTTTACAGGGCTTGCGGTTTTTCAGGCTTGCGTGTTGCTCCGCTTTCCACGCAGTGGATATGGCTATTCTGTTTGTGGAGGCCTTCAGTTTGACCATATACTGGCGCAAATCTTGGTGCTGCGGAACAACGCCAACTATTGGTGTACCAGTTCTTCACGCCTCGGATCTAGATTGGAGTGGTGCGTATAAAGGCAAACGGCCGAATCCTGAGGACTTAATCAACGCACCAGTAAGGATACCGATAGATGCCGGCAGAATTGCTGCAGCTGCAGAGATGTGTATGGCCTCCCTCAATCTACAGTGCCGAAACTCAACATGTTTGTTTTCGCAAAATGAGAAAACTGCGGCGGGCAGGCTCCAATGCTATTATTGCTCCCTGGAGTCATTTCCTTTCGGCAGAATGTGTGCTGTTCGGGCTGTTTTTCGCTTTCAGCCTGACAGGGCAAAGTTCAAGATGGTTGTCGTCTGCGCACAGTGTACACCTCCAATCAATTGGGGTGGACCCTCGATCTTGGAGCCATCCTGGCTGCCGCGCATTCCAGTGTTACACTCATCTCGGAAGGAGATGGAAAGCTGACATCATGGTCAGGGTACAGAGCAGAAGAGGTATGGGAGACTCCTCCACAAGCAAAATGGCCGTCTTGGCCTTGCAATGAAGTTGCATCAAGGTGCAGGGCCGAAAGCGTGGTTGCGGTCCAGTGTTTGTCTTTGCCGACAAGATGGTGTCATCAGAGTGAGGGGCACTGTCGGCGAGTGAGGAACGCCACGCAACTAGACCAAGCGCAGGCCTCCGTTCTGCAGGTGCCCATGTGAATGTTTGCCTTGAGCAGCCTGAGATGGCCAACCCGCTTCCAAAAAGCCTTCATGGTCCAGAACCTGAAAGCCAGCAGTCCACAAGCTCTTGTAAATATGCCGCACCTCGCGTAACCAACCTAGGACCGCGTTGGCCTCGCCTGTAACTGTGCACGATGCCATTGGGCACCAACTAGCACTGTGAAGGTGCCACGCAAGGGTTGCTTGTGGGTGTGTGTTCAACCAAGGCAACACACCTGTTGACTTTGCTTGCGTGGAGGATTAACAATGCCTTTTGCCCGCGTTTGCGTGTCAGAGCCTGCAGCCTGCTTCACCAAACGCGTGTGCATTCCCAGCTTCCCAACGCGTTGCTCCACTCAGATCGTCGTGGTGCGGCCTCCAGTTCGTCACAGCACACGCAAACCACACAATGGCAACGCTTTTTTTGTCTGTGCGCTACATGCATAATTTGAAGGCTGAAGGCTGCGGCCCAAAGTTGACAACGGTCCGCAACATGAAGGTATGCAACGAATATCATTTTTCGACCTTTCACCCTGTGGGTGACAAGTATCGGGTTACGCGTTGTTTGCTCGTTGTAGATGCAGTTTCACTGCTAAGGTTGCCATGTGACTGGGTCTCCAAGCACAATTTGTATTGCTTGAAATTGTGAGCTGGATAGCATCATGCCATTTTTGACCACCGATGACAAACATCGAAATCCGAGTGATGTCTGAGCCCGACATTTTTTTTTTCAGCTTTGTGCCACCCTGTCGTATCTTCTTTTTGAGGGTCCCAATGCTGAGGGCAAGCAGTGTTTGAGGCAGAGTTTCCTCAATGTAAATACTGGGAGGACAGGTATTGGAGTTTTTTGCAAGTTTTTAGTGCATGCAAATCAAACCTGGTTGGAATGACCTCAGCGACTGCCTTTATTACTACAGCAACCGTCGGGCGGACACATATTCTGAGTGACATATAGGTGGTTGAGATCACAGACGCATGGTCAATGAGCCCAACTGGGCGCAGGTTTGGAGAACAAGGTGGGAACATCCGACCATTTAACCATATAAGTAACTGCCGTGGCTCCTGCGTGCAGTCTTGTGCATGTGCGACCAACAGCACATGGCAAGTCTTTTAGCAATATTTTGGCCCAAACCCATCAAACACAGGTGGCAATGCGTTTGGGATACCCGAGGCCATCCAGTGGACTAGAGGAGTGTTCCTCATTACCTTATTCACCAGCTTGGATCAGCTCTGGCAATCTGGCAGCAACACCCTTGTTTCCAAGACATTTCGCAGATTTCATGTTCATGATTTTGACCTTCCCGCGCAGCAACGTGTAGGCAAGGCATTTGTGCCATGGTCTTGTATTTTGTGCAGCTTTGTGCAGCTTTGTGCAGCTTTGTTCTCTTTACAGCAAGGCCGTAATGCTGGGGATTGAGTTCCAGAAGCCCGAGGCGGGTTTGCCACAGCCGTGCTTGCAGAGGTGTTGCAGCTTTGGGCAGGTGACCACGGTCATTCGATGGCTATTGAGAGTCGTACTGGTGGTTTTTCTAGCTTGGCCGGGCACCTGGCCGCATTGCTCGCAAGTTGTACTGTGAACAGGGGTTGGCAACATGTGTGGCCCGTTGGGTTGCCTGAAGCAAAGTTTCAGATCGGTCTCATTTTTTTTGCATATCTTTGTCATTTGGACTTTTCAGGGGTCCCTGGCTCTGAGGCTTGTCCGCCAGCGTTCGGAGCAGGCCGAGCATCGACTCGCTGTTTGTGCTGGGAAGCTGCTGCCATGAGACTTGAGCAAACTGTATGCAACGAAGGTTGCAAGCTGCAATTTCATGAGCTTGTTCTCTTGTATGCCAAGAGGGAACTACGGCCTTTGGCGCATGCTATGTTTGAGTTGGACTTTGATGGTGGTTGCTGCGTGTCTCTGGAATCAAAACTGGCCATAAACACTGAGTGACTTGGCTGGTCGGCTGCCTTTCCAGGAGGAAGAAGAAGAATGTGAGGAGAATGAGGCAGAGGTGACGGATGCTCGGGCACGGTCCAATGGTCTGAGGCGTGGTTTGGAGAGTTGCGTTTTTGAGGGAAACAATCCTGCCACACCGTATAAGACGAACCAAGCAGAAGAAGTAGCAACATTTCTCTATGCACACCCACCAGTTCGGGTTGCATGGCTTCTGAGTGCTTTGCTTGCTTAGACACGCGATCATTTTTTCATGATACGAAGCACTCACCCAGCTTGTCTGAGCCAATCAGACTTGTTTTGAAATGCCCCAAACCTCCCACAGCGCAGGTCCCGCGGGAATGCTCGACCTGCCAGAGCCCAGCCCCGCCGATGGTCTCAGTTGTAGAATGAAACACAGCGTGAATATTCTTAGATAAACGAAACTGTTGCAGTCTCACAGAACTTGTAGTTGAGTGGCAGTCAACTGGCCGATTCACTCAACCCAGCCTCCTGAGGGCGCGACCCGTGCCTTGGCATGATTTTGAGCGGAATGGTGGATGTGACAGAGTCTCACATTCAGCATCGACGTAGAATGTGTCTTCAGCTTGAGCAAGTAAGCGGCAGGTATGTGACAGCACGACCAAGAAAGGGAGTCGCAAGCACAGATGCAGACTTTGACTCCGTCGTGGAAAAGGTGCGGTGCGAAACTTCTTTTTTCTTGCTCAGAAGATTCAGTAGCCAATCTGATAAGACAAGTCACCGACTGTTGGGTATTTTGCCGGCATCATGTGTCACAGGCACTTTGCCCGATTTGGAGGTGAAGCCAAAAGAGATGTGGCAGCCCCGCAAGAGTGGGGAGCCTCTGCTCGTAAAGAAGTCCCAGGAGCCGGAAGTTTGGCCTTGAGGACTTTGGTCGGAGCCTTTCAAATGTGAACAGTGAGCCGTTGTTCGACTATCGGTGGCATCGGGTCAATCTTAGCTTTGCTCCTTTTCGTTCCGCTTCGTTCCTGATATCATGCTTGCCTGCGCTGGCCTGGGCTTGCTGGGCCTGGGCTTGCTGAGCTTGGCTCGGGCAGATCAGGGCTGTGGGTACCAGTGCCGCAGCGACTCGGAGTGCGGATCTTGTGGAAGGCGTGCCATAGGGCCTCAGCTTTGCAACTCCCATGCCACGTGCCTGTTGATTTTTTCTTTCCTTGGCGTTCACCTGTCATTGAAGCACAGCTTCTCATATTTTTTGGATGTTGGAAAGCTTCGGCAAGTAAAGGTCTGTCACTGATTCAGCCCTTCTTCTCCAGTCTCTGGTTTTCCCTGATTGCTTACCTAGTGACAAGGGACCCAAAGTCTTGGTAGGTTCTACAAAGAAGCAACACAGCTGTTCACACTGAGCAACTCTCATTCATCATTTTTGCACTCATCGGATCGACTAGCCTGACCAGTGCTGGCAGTGGCCGCTGCAGCTGCCCTGACGCTGTCCTGGCTATCAGCTGCACCTGCATTTCGGCGCCTTCTGGCGCACCTGAAGGGCCAAGCGATGTGAAGGCACACCACGTGTCAGAGTGCAAACAGCAGTTCTGGATGTACTGCTTCTGTTGTTGGACAGCTGACTCACATAACATGGCTTGCTTGGATCTAGAGGCTCAATGGATTAGCTCATGTTCTCAGCCTATCGAGCGTGCTTTGCAACTGTATGGTTTGTGTCATTGATTTCTCAAGGACAGCGTGTGGCCTCGCCAGTGGACTGCAAATGTGGAGACCTGGACGTACAGTGACTTCTCCAACAGGACCTCACAGGCTCGCGGGAAGTTCTACTATGATGCCGAACTTCAGCGTTCCAGGGCAGACTGGAAGCCCTACATCGATGGCAGAGACGCCGTGCAGGTCTGGATCTCTGGCCCCGAGGGCTCAAGGTACTATGTCAAGTCGGGGATTCTGTGCATCTCCTTTGGCATCAGCGATCCAGGACCGGGCTGAGGGGTCGGGCCAAGGTCCTCAGTTCTTAGGGTCTTTACGTTTGAAAGCAGAGACGAAGAGGCTTGGCATTGAAACGAAGCAATTGTGCAGGCATGCCATCAGAGCCTGTGGGCTTGGAGCGGGCGGACTGGATGCAGCGATGCCAGGACCGGAGCCTTGGGAGAGACTGGAGGTTCAGCTTCTTGCCCAACATGTGCAAAGAAGGAGTTTCTTTGCCACCCTTTGCTCTCTGAGTAGTCCTGCCGTGCCCTGCGTCCATTTTTCGTGCTGCCTCCCCTTGTTTCGGCAAGAATGACGCTGCAACTTTCGGACACTCCCATGCTCTCCCATGCTATAAGTCTCAGGCAACTCACACCCGCATGGTTCATAACAAAGCTCAAAACACTCACCCACTTGAAGATAAGCCCTCAACCACAACGTTGTCTGAACCTCTACCTCACATGACGCATGCATCTTGCGAATTGACCACCGCAGGAGCTCGGCTTTGCCAAGTACATCGGACGTGAGCAGGTGCGCGTGGATGGTCAGGACTGCAATGCTTCGTTTGCAGGGCCTGGATTGCTGGCTTTCGCTCGAGCCGTTTTTTTTGTTGCAGGACCAGTGGGCGGATCACTGGCCTGGCCCTGAGTCATCCAAGTGCAGCGCTTCCAAGCTTAGGGTCATTGTTACGTAGCAGGTCTTGCCACGTCGACTACGAAAAAGCCAACCAGTCCATCACTTTCCAGAACTGGCACTCCCTCGCACCAAAAGGCCTCCCTCTCCGCGTCACTGGAGGGAACTCAGCGCCCAATGCTCAGAAGGCGCGCGCCAAAGTGGAAGTGAGAGATGGGATTCAGTTCTGGGGTTGCAGTCTTGCAGGGCTCACCTCGGCTGAACACGGCCTGGTACAGCAACTTCAGCGTGGGACCCGGTGCAACGAAACCCGAGGACTAGCCGAGTGCTTTTCTGTGCTAAGTCTGCTTGGGTTGGCAGAACGACATGCAGCTCAACCAGCTGTTTCATATGTGCGACTGAACAAATTGCCAGGACTTCCAGAAGCCAAATTTCGGCCTATGCATTCCTGTTGGTGAGCAGGAGGTGCCCGTGCATGGTTCATCCTTGCAATGAAATTCGAGCGTTTTTTGCCAGTTCGCCCCTGTCAGGTGGAAGAATTCTTTGGCCACCCTGCGACGCAGGCGTTGCTTGCGCTCTTGATGCTCTGTCGAGAGCCATGATGTGTTTTGAGACTTGACACTGCAATTCGACATTGGGGACGGTCAGAGAAGGCGTTTTTTTTGCTCTCAGACAGAGCCAACCGCGGAGCTTTGTTAATGAGAAGCAACGCTTCAGCTGCCAGCTGTCATTCTTTGTCATTTTTGCGTTGCCAGGGACACCTCTTTTCGGGCGATTTTCACCGCCGCGCTCGATTCCTTCCTCATGCCTCGCCGCGTCAAGAGGAGCCTTGGGATCGCAATTTAATGATACACGCTTGATGGTTCTATTCAACCGCCCTGCGCTGGACTTTGACTAAAAGCACCACTGAATTAGTACATGCTCCCTGTCTCCAGGCTAGCAGTTTGTGGACGCCGCAAAACCATTGTGCAACATCATCCACAGCCTCAATCATTTGCGGTCACAAGCAAGGAAGGCCCTGAAGCTTGTGCATCTCTGGAATTTCCATGCGGGGCTAGCCACATTTGGGATCATGTTGCCAAGATTTGACATCCGATTCAAGAATCTCATGAAAGTTGAGCACCAAATTCTAGAAGACATCTGTCCGTTTTGGCTCAATTAGTCTTAACATGGGAAGCTGTGATTCGTTTTGGTTCGATCGCGAAGTCTCCCAGGACATGCGCCGCGCGCGGCAGAAGAAGCCCAGCAGCAGCTTCCTGGGCAGCTCCTTCAGCCAGGCGGGTCTGAACCGCACACCCATCGGAATCCGGACTTCGGACTTCGGAATTCGGACTTCGGAATTCGGACTTCGAGCATGTTGCATCCGATCCCTACCTGGCTACCCCTCTCTGACGTGACTGCCTTCCTCACATTTTGTCAGCTTGGCGAGGCCATGGAGAAGCTGAACGCAGTGCTGCTCAGTGATCCAGCCTTGCAGCCGCTTGGTGAGCCTTGAAGCCTTGCAAAAAGATGCTGGAGATTCGCATGGCCAAAAGCAGAGGACGAAGCCCTGTGGCTACCTGACCACCTCAGAGCTTCATGCTACGTGTCTTGGCGATGGGTTAGTGTGTCTGCACATTGGTGAGGCTGATGGCGGGCGTTTTGTATTCAATCCAAAGTCCTCTCCGATTGTGTTCGTTGACACAAGCCTGAGGCAGCGGCTGCTTTTTTATGCCCGCTCTAGCTCACTGGATGCAGCTCCGTAGCTGCAAGTAGTCGATCGTCTTAAACAGCTCACATGTGCGGAGTATCACCGGGGGATCAGGTTTACCGAGCTGCCAGCGATTCCCGGCAGATGGTTCATGTCAGTCCTAAGGACTGCCGGATGTTTGCATTGTGGGAATGCAAAGGGCAGTGAAGACCCTTTGTTCTCCTTACCAGTAAAGGTGTCATGCTTGTTCCACAACAAGGGAAGTGTTGAAATCAGATCACGAAATGTCTCAACTGCTGGACGCTGATGAATCCGAATAAGCAAGAGCAACAAAGGGCATTTGCAACGCAGCAGGAGCTCCTAGATGAGCAGGAGCACTTCAAGCGTCTCGAGGCAGGAGTGCGCCAGCTTCAGCCACTTCCAGCCACCTCCGTGTTTTGGGCTGAGGCGGACAATCCCGAGGTTGCAGTGATTGCACGAGACGGAGCCTGCCACGAGGTGGTGCTGCTGGGCAGAGTTGGCTTGCTTGACAATTCTCGCGATCCCGTGGCTTAGGGGCGAGCCCCAGGTCTCGCGTCTTGAGCCCATGGCTTGCCATGCCGATCTGAGCTCAGGATGTGGTACATCCATCACCTCACCACCGATGCTAGGGAGGCCGTGAAGCCGCACTTAGTGCTCCCGCTTTTGCCGGGCCACCACCACGGCAGTCGGGAGCTTGGTACAAACCCGCCACACAAGCTGCACGGAATATTTGTTGCTCGCAACTGGCATTAGTTTGCTAAACTCGGCCTTTTGCTGCTAGCAGAATTCCGGACCACAGGCGTTGAGCTTGCACTGGAGGAGACCAAGCTGTTAGAACTGCACTTTGTACTGAGGTCCCACAAAGCGCTACAGCAGCCAGGTGAGCTGTGCTGTGTGCCACACGGCGCCAGAAGTGGTCGTGTGAGCTCATGCCCACATGATGCTATTCGACAGCTGCTTCGTTGCCGCGTGGGTCTGAATTCGAGTGCGTGTACAGAGCATTAAGAGGCACAAAGCCTGCTCCACAAAGACCATGCACAGAATCCGGTGCACTCGAGTTGTCGCCCATCAATGCTCGTGCTGCTATGTTTGGCGGAAGGAGCATTGAGAGGTGCTCTTTTCGCATGGGCGCGGTCTTCCTTCGTGGCTTGTACATAGTTAGGCTGACTGCCGCTTGCCACTGACAGTCCCATTTGCATGGTAGATAGCCACAGATTGTCAGGCAGCTGTGGGCGCAGCTGGGGATGCTTGGAAAAGTCAAGCATGATGGTTTGACCCGGGGCCAGAAGGGACTCAACTCTTGGTGGGAGGCGTACTTGATGATTCATTTGTAAGTTCTTCACATTGCATGCGAATATTGTCATGCCTTTGGAGCTGGAATAGATGGGATAGGGCGGACTCCACAGCAAGACTTGGTCTGTTTCGTTGTCAATGCGAGGAGGAAGAGCCGGATCGTCCAGTCGCTGCATCAGCCAGTAGGGCGGGGAAGCACACTTAGCTGCAAAGGATGCGTGACTCCATGACGCTGCATGAGGGAGGGAACGCTATCTTCTCACACCGGAGGGAATGGCTGCCAAGCAAGATGCTTGCTCGGAGTCCCATGTGAAGTTCGGTCAAATGGACGGCCAATTTCCCGTGTTCATTGCGGGAACCGCATATTTTGATCACTGTGCCTTTGAGGCGCGACAGAGATCAGGGTATTACCCTTCGTGGCCATGAGCGGCCTGCCTGGGGCTCAGGATGTGTTCCTTCACATTTTCATGTTGCGGCCAGCAACGTGTGTTTTCTATCACATGTGCAAGTAGAACTAGACGACGGTTGGCCCGAAAGCATCACAGCCCCGTGATCATTCCCGCGCAAGTTTTTTTGCTTGATCTGCAATCTGTCAGCTGAAAACAGCCATCAGCTACAGCAAGAGGAGCACTTCACTTTCGAAGGCGTTTCCTCTACTCTGGAACAAGAGGAGCGCTTCACTTTCGCTTGTTGCTTGCGACCTCCGGCTTCGCGGCGAGCAGGCCCCAGACCATGTCCTTCTCTTCCGTGAGCGCGCCAGTCCGAGCCCGATTATCGTGGAGATGCGTCGCGTGCAATGTAAATGAATGTGAAATGATGGGGTCCAGTACTTCTCCAGCAACTGCCTAACAACCCTTGCTTGTTTTACGGACTCAGTGCAAAGCAAGCCAGCTATGACATGCAAACACAGTATCTTCCCGGGCGCCTATAACTATCTCCGCTGAAGTCTCAGTCGGCAGCCCTCGGAGTTCCGCACGACAGCGTCCGTCCGGGCGGCGCAGTTAGGTACACCAAGAGGAGCGCTTCGCTTTCGAAGGCGTTTCTGCTACCAAGAAACCCGACGCTCGCTTGTTGCCCGCGACCTCCGGCGGCTGAGCGTCGAGCAGGCTCCAGACAATCTCTTCCGTGAAAGTCCGAGCCACATGTTCAGGTGCTCGAGCCATCCATTCCACATGCAGGGTCATCATGTCCGTGTGATAGTCCTGCAGCACGCGGACGACCAACACACCCGGAGCGCCATCCGCCTCCACCGCGAAAGGCTTGGCTTTCTCAATGGCTGGAGAAGGAAACACCTCTGGGTGGCAAGTGACGAGGTGCTTTTCTCCTCATTGATGTCCGGCTCCTCCTGCGCATAGGGGAGCATTGCAATGTAGAAAACACACACACCTGGCATAGAATCTAGAAACAAAACCACTAATAACCAACACGTCTTTCCAAAACTGGAGCCTGGCCTGCTCGGTCAGCTTCTGCAGGACAGAGTCAGCCAGTTGAGCTTTCGCCAAGTTGATACTGCCAGTCGTCTGCGGCACTCCGAGCTGCCGCGCCAGAGCGCGAAGTTGCAGCGCAGCTTTGGCCGCCAGCTCTTCCTGGAGCCACGCCGCACCCTTCTCGGCCAAGCCAGCGCGAAGCCTGGCCACCTCACCCTCCGCGTGGTCCTGCCACGTACCATAAAAACGAAACTAAACGCCTAGCGCCTAACGCAGCGTCAAAACGAGATATGGCTGCCTACGTATCTGGCTCTTAGTTACCGTACGTGCGACTCTTCTGGAACAGAACAACATCTCCCAAAAACATTTTCCAACAAGCCAGCGGCCTGACTTCGCAAATCATCGCCCGCCTGGGCTGCAGCTCTGGCTCTTTGCTGCTGGCTCCTTTCGGCGTTTCTTCTACGCAGCTCACACACACCTGGCGCAGAATCTAGAAACAAAACCACTAATAACTAACACGTCTTTCCACAAGAATAGAGACTGGCTTGCTCAGTCAGCTTCTGCAGCACAGAGTCAGCCAGTTGAGCTTTCACCAAGTTGATACCACCAGGCGTCTGCGGCACGCCGAGCTGCCGCGCCAGAGCGCAAAGTTGCAGCTTTGCCAGCTCTTCCTGGAGCCACGCTTCTCGGCCAAGCCAGCGCGAAGCCACCTCACCCTCCGCGCGGTCCTGCCTGTCCGCATCGTCCTACGGGCTCCACGCAAAATGGCATGCCAGCATGGTCCGCCGGAACGTCCGCAAAACTGAAAGAAGCGTAACGCAATGTCCCAAAGCAGCAAAGACATGAACAGATCTCTGGGCCTGGCATGCACTCTCATGATGACTTTGTGCAATGACGCTGTTTGCAGGTTGCTCTGTGCAGTGACTCTCATGATGACGCTGCGCAATGACTCTCATGATGACCCTGTGCAATGACGCTTTGTGCAGTTGCTCTGTGCAAGTTGCTCTGCCCACATGCGCTGCGCATTTTTTCCGTGTAAGTTACTCTACGCAAGTGCTGCCAGAGCTGCCGGAATGTACTTCGCGTACTGCCTTTGTACTTAAAAGTTGCGATTCTGCAAGCGGAGCTGCGGAGGTCCACTCCGCGTACTACGTTTGTGTTTAAAAGTTGCGATCTTGCAGCCGGAGCTACGGGAGTGCGCTCCGCGCGTTTGTGTGTAAAAGTTGCGATTTTTGAGCCGGAGCTGCAGGAGTGTACTCCGCGTACTACATTTGTACTTAAAAGTTGCTTTTTTCCAGCTGCGGGAGCTTCCTCCGCCTACTACGTTTGCGCGTAAAAGTTGCGATTTTTGTCTAGAAGAGCTGCCGCGGACCAGGCGGGAATCGAACCCGCGACCGCGCGACTCCGAGAGCAGGCGCGTCGCCAAGAGTCCTCAAGGGTCGCGCGCACACCGCAGAAATCGCAAAAAGTCCGCAGTTTTTTCACCTCGAATCTCCGCCGACGGTCGCGCGCGAACCGCAGAATCGTAAACCGCCCTCATTTTTTTTAAACCGCGACCACGCCGATCGCCGCAGAGGGTTGATTTTCGTAGAGTGCTGTCGGCCCTACCCCGCCACCCTAAGAAGAGAAGAAAGGAATTAAAAACTCTCATGAGCAATGACTCTGTGCAATGACTCTGTGCAATGACTCTGTGCAATGACTCTGTGCATGAGTCTGATGATGATAATGATGATGATAACTCTTTGCAATGACTCTCATGATGAATTTAAAATGAAATTTACAACTCTCATGAGCAATCACTCTGTGCAAGCTCAAGCCATTTTCTGAAATTTAAAACTCCGTAGCCATTTTGGCTCAAGCTCAAGCCAGTTTCTGGTTAGAGTTGCCATGATGGCTGAAGGCGAATCAGATCAGCCTGATGGTAAGCGACAGAAGACAGATGAGCTGCCCGACAAGGGCAAGCACAAGGGCAAAGGAAAGACCAGAGACAAGAGCGCCCTCAATGATGCGAAGGGCAAAAGAAGAGGAAAAGAAGGAAAACTTAAGGGCAAAGGCAGAGACAAAGATGATGATGCGAGGAAGCGTGGTGATACCGCGCTTATATATGCCGCCAGTTTTTCGAAGCTGGCGATTAGCTTCACTGTCCCGTCTACAGAGACGGCTGCCTTCATGCTTCCGGGTGACCTCATGTGCCTTCAGCAAATCCTTCGCAACATGACGACGGTTCGACTGTCGTCCACGAAATCCGACAAGGTAAGACTGTCGGCGGTGCTCGAGTCCCTACTCGATTACTCGGCCCTTGCCGCTGCCGTGGGCAGAAACTTCATCCGGACCGAGGACCGGATGATCTTTCCTCCAGGCCCGAATGGTGAGGTTTGGCGTCCTGATGCTGTGTCTTGCAATGTCTGGCTTGATTTGATCAAGACTGTGTGTGACAATCTCCAATGTCAGCGCGCCCCTCATGAAGTTCGCTGGCATCACTCGCTTCGATGAGGGCAATGTATGCTTTCTTCCGAAGGTGATGGAGATGTGGAGTGAAAACTTCACAGATGAAGAGATTGACCCCGGCCTTTGACAATCGGTTGGCCTTGGAGGTATGGCTGTTGGACTATCTGTCCTCAGCCCTGCACCCCATTGAGGTGGCCATCATGTTCTGGATGTACGTTTAGGAGATCGGCTGCAATGATGCCGTCGAGTACACATGCCGGATGTGTTGGGGAGCTATTTTCACCGAAGCTCCTGTAGCCAACTCAGCGGGTTGCAATCGCGCTACGCGGAGGTTTATCGTCTTGAAGGACTTTTGGGACGTTGCCTGGACCAGAACGGAGCGCGACTTCATCGCGAATCAGATCAGGCCTGAGCTTCCAACCGGAGTCAAGGCCTTGAGGGCATGCCTTGGCGACACGACCAATGGTGCCAGCGTGGTTGGTCCATTCAGCTATGCTGCCGACACCATCAAGATGGGTGCCGCCATATCGGGAGACGTTGGTCTTTCGAACTTCAACAGGAAGCAGGTGACCGATGTCGTGACTAGCTATGACATTTCTGGCTTCATTGTGGGATTCTATTCCATTGAGAATGGCAGCAAGAAAGATGGCTGCGACTACAAGCCGAGAACTTCAAAGAGTTTGTAGCCCCCGGGGCCTGACGTTGCTTCACTGGGTTGGCGTTCTTTGGGGAGGCGAGGATTCTTCCCCTGCCCTCC